CCCTCCCAGGTTTGAGAGCCTGGGAGGGAGGGGGAGCCCCGAGCCGCCGCGGCGCGCGAAACAGCTGATTCGCGTGCCGCTGCTCCGCCTCCCTCCCAGGTTTGAGAGCCTGGGAGGGAGGGGGAGCCCCGAGCCGCCGCGGCGCGCGAAACAGCTGATTCGCGTGCCGCTGCTCCGCCTCCCTCCCAGGTTTGAGAGCCTGGGAGGGAGGGCGAATAGTGGCGCGCAAATCAGCTGTTTCGCACGCCGTGGCAGCAGCAGCGGAGGTGAGCTAGGGCGGCCGGGGCACATTTTTAGGGGCGGCATTCTGGCGCCGGCCATGCCGCCCCTAAAAATGTGCCGCCCCAAGCACCAGCTTGTTTTGCTGTAGCCTAGAGCCGGCCCTGCCTGCAAACAATCAAAGCATTTAAGAACAAGTTGATAAATATTATGCAGCATTGGGGAGCAGTAGCTGAGGTCTCACAGAGAGTCAAGAAGTGACATTTATAGTCAGACATATGTTTATCTTTGTCTATTCAGGAAATAGTTCATATTTTGAATACTTATCTTTTGCCTGGAGCATTAATCATGCGATATCAAACAACAACATGAACTGTTTTGAGTGACATTCTGCAAGATAATATAGTTATGAATATTCTAAATGTGTTCTCCAACTGTAGAAAGTGGTACCTCATGATTCAAACTAGCTGCGCAGCAAACTCACAGTATCTGCTTCACTCCATTTCCTGTAGCTGCACAAAACAGTAGAGGCAGCATGTAAAATGAAGAGGAAACGTTACTTTAGCTTATCTTCTGGTTTTTGACAATTCCACTGCAAAACTAATAGGTCAGAGAGGTATAAGCATCAGCTCAGAAGCAAAACAGGTGCAATTTGATGGACTTACACTAACCATCTCCTTCTAAGCAGTTCATTGTTTTGTTGGGATGCAGCCCCAGTATGCGGGAGGAAGTATTTCCTAATGAAACCAACATGGTTGGTCCCCATGGAGGACATGGAGAAGAGGAAGTATGGCCAGGACATCTCTGTGTCTTGGCAATTCCTAGCTGCTGGTATACCCCTTAGAAGATGTTGGCAGTCAGTGCCAAGTAGAGCAATGTAAGGTGGCTCTAATTTATGTTTGAGACCGCCTCAGTGGATAGGCGGCCCCATGACTGGGAACTGTGATGATATAAAAAGTGGCTTATGGGCATCTTATCTCTTCTTGTCCTATCTGCTGCTTTAGGGCTGAGCTGAGGCCAGCTCAGATGCGTTCTTGAAACACTTTCATAACATCTTTTGTATTACCTCAGTTTTATTACAGTTGAATGCAATGAGAAGGAAGTTAAGCTCTAGTCAGAGAACAGATTTATTTGTGGAGAGGAGTTTGGATGAAAGCAGCCAAAGCCATGAAAAATGCTGAATTAAAATTATTGCAATTCAGGCCTATATTGGATCCTATTCAAAATGAATCCACTGGACTATAAACAGTGTATGCTAATGGTGCAATCACCTCATCCGTGATTATGAACACTTGCTCTGGGACTGACAGGAGAGGTCTTCTGGGGAGAGATAAGGATTCAAATGAATAACAGTAGGATATTATCTAGCATACCAAAACTATCAGCCTGGAGGCAGAGTTGGGATAGGGCAGGGGAAAGATGCACTGCACAAACCGTGGTGTCGGGAGGCCTTCCTCTCTCTTTTACACAGTGCAAATCAGGAATGCCTCAATGGGCCTGATTCTCCACTGCCTTGTCCCTCACATGGCTATTTACATCTGTGGAAATGTTACCCAATCAGAATTTTCCGTTACTCTGCACATGTATAAATGCTTAGCTGAGGTGTTAATGGAAGCCTCTCCATTGATTGCAATGGACTTTAGATCAGGCCCTACACATAAGTGTATTTGGTTCACTCTGCTGTGAAAATCTAGAAAACCCTCGTAGAATCCAACTGTCTTTTGTTTTTAATTGTACGCATGTAGGGTTTGATCCTGCTCCTATTAAGTCAATGGCACTGCTCCTATATGCTTAAAGTTATGTATAAGCTTAAGTGTTTTGCTGGATCAGGCCCATATTGCCCAATATTTTTGATCAAAGACAAAAAATGTGTTGAACTTTAAATACCAAATGTCTTCCTTTCACCCATATCAATAAGAAATACTCTGGATGTAATCCTGACTCTACTGAAGTCAATGGGAGTTTTGCCATTGATTCATTGGGAACAGGATTTCACATTCTATTTTTCATACACCCGCAGACAGTTAAACTAACCTTCAGGCAATTTACATACATTATACTTTCTTTCAGCAAATACACAATGTTAATCAAACAGAAAAACTTCCTAGAACAATTCCCTAAGCAGCATTTGCACATAGTCCCTCTTCAGAGTGTCAGCAAATGTCTTTCACCCACCAAGCGCTGACACAAATTTTATTAGCGTAGTTAAATCTGAAAGTGAACTAAACCTCTTCTGAATGCTATGAAGATGCTATTCATCTTTCCACCAGCACAAACATCCCTCTTCAGGGCCTAATCCAAAGCTCATTAAAGTCAACGGAAAGACTGACTTCGATAGGCTTTGGATCAGGTCCCTATAGTAGATCTTGGCATTACAAGATGCAGGCAAAGTATTTTTCCAGCAAAATTACTAAGGCCCTATTCTTTAGTGGTGCGGCATGCATATAACCTCAAGCACGTGCTTGGGTGTTTTGCGGGCTTAGCACCTTTGCACATTAGGCTGTAAATAATTTTCAGTTTAATTATTTATGTGATTGGTGACTGCTTAACTTTTCTTAATCATTATGAAATGCACTTAACCCTGCATTTTTATTATCGTTTATTTGGCCATTCACTGCAGATGTTCTCAAAGCTCTGCCATTGGGATTTGAATCGCGTAATGAGATCCTAAATGTGCTGAAGAAAAAATTCACTGCCTCGGCTCAAAGTGTAGCCTCTTCATTTTGCATGTGTGTGAGAGAGCGTGCATGAGTGTGAGTTGGGGGCTGGAGGGGGAGCAAGGCAGTGACATTGTGTTCCTTTTCCAAGTGCTTTCCTGCAAGCTGCCAGCATCTATGCAAATTACCCAAATTCGAATTCACAGAAAATCTCTCTAACTGTGTAATTTGTGGTGCCAGCATCAGAGCTTGCCATGTGTTCCAGAATGCACTCAAACCAGGTAACCTCACCATCACTCCCCAGGAATGGACTCTGCTATTCATAGCCAGTAAGTGATCAGAGCTGACTTTTACTGTTGATATCAAACTAACGGCTTTCCACGAGGAAAGTCAGATAAAAGCGTGAGCTAGCGGCAGCAAACTGGTTTTTACTAGCTTCTTTGTTGTGCTGACATCAGAATATTAACCGAAAACTTGATGTTTATTTTGCTTCAGTAGAGAAGTGCTAAGTGGTGCCATTTAAGTATTTGGTGAACATTCTTAACCAATCATATAAATATCAGAAAAGCTCAGCAGTTGGTGTAAATTCATAGACTTTAAACCTAGAATACTCATCTGATCTGACCTTGGGAAAGTCACTTAAACTCTATGCATGAAATCCTGGCCCTATTAAAGTCAATGGACGTTATCCACCTGTAACATTTGGGTAATATTTCCTTCCTTCCGTCCTTTGTCTGTCTTGTATATTTAGACTTTAAGCTCTTCAGGGCAGGAACTGTTTGTCCGGTGCCTAGCACAATGGGTCCTGATCTTGATTGCAGCCTCTCGTACTACTGTAATGATGCTAATAACAGAAATTTGAAGTTTTTCCATCCCTAATCAGAATTCAGAATCAGAGGTTTTCTGTACAGTTAAGGCATGTTCAGTGGTGCACCAGCTGAGTTTGCATTACATGCCAAGTAACATGATAAGTCAAATGCACATCTAAGAAGCAACGGAGAAGGGTACATGCCTTATATTTGCTTCACTTGTATATCTCAGAAATAAAAGTCGTGTTCAATATTTAACAAAATGACAGAAGCTCTTTCTACCTGGCAGACATGTTGTATGTTGCTGAACTTCAAGCAGGAGCAAATTTTTATGGCCAGGTTATAACCCTTTGAATATTAGTGTTTATAATGGAAATGCTGACACCACCTGAAATATGTCATTGCATTGAAATGGCACTTAGTTAATTTTTCATACCCTTTGTAAGAAATACTTTTTCCATAAAAGTCTGCAGCCCATTAGCCCATGATGTAGACTAATGCCTTTCATTTTATTTGGAGGAAAAACATAAAGAGAAAAAGCAACTACCTACTGACTTCTTTCATTTAGAAACATGTTTTGGGGGGGGGGGAGGGAAGGAGAGGGCAGGTATAGTAAAGGTCACTTCCCAGGGTGTGATCAAGGTATAGAAAAATTCTGTGTACTGCAGCAGCTATAATAACCCCTGCACTGTCTGCCCTGCGGCAAACTCAGTTTTCTTCTGACCTGAGTGTTCATTAGTAGAATTCATCACATAATAGTCATGAATTCACCTATGCGATTAATTGCACAATTTTATAAGAAAAAGAGAATTGACTATTATTATTATTTCCCATTCAGCTTTTAGACCTGAGTGAAGAATTCATGAATATTTGTAAATTCATACACAGCTGCTGAAATTTTAAGGCCAGCTTTAGGCTCTGATCCTGCACTGGTGCAGATCCCAGCACTTATTTGGAGTTCAATGAGTCGCTGCACAGATGCAGAAATCTATGTATGGAAAAACTATCTTCTTATCAGACACTGTGAGGCATACCACCAGGGTTCCAAGGTCTTTAGAATGACTAGGATGAGTAGGGAAAGATAGGATCCAAAGTGCAAGGGAAGGATTTCTCCTGTGAGGAGGCTAAAATGTAGTAGTCAGTGGCTGTATCGCATTTCCAGTGGATTTTCCCCTGGACACAGAGGATTATAAATGTGTTTTCCCCCAATACTGAGCATGAACCTCCCATTTCTTTCTCCTCAGCATGACTCCCAGGACCCATGGAGAGTCCAAGGGAAGAGGGATGCGGCTCCTGCAGAGGTGGCTGATGTCTCCTTTCCATGTGTCAGAGGAGGCAATCCACACATAGATCAAAAGGGCATGATCTGCCCATGTGTTACTATAACACCATAGTGCCCCCTCACATCAGGGATGCCTCTGCAGTGCCCTGCCCCTGTTTTCCCCTTCTTCAGGGCTTGGGGTCTGGTTTCTTTACTGACACAAAATCCCAAAAAGTAACCAACAACAACAACAAAATCCTCCACCCAACCTTGCTGGGCACAATTCCTCCTCCCTTAGGTACCGTCCCTTCCTGCTGTCTGGGCAGGTAGAGAAGGTGCAAGGCCTGGCCTGCCTTCTTTGCCTTCTCCCAATGGACAATAAAACTTTCAGCTCGGTATTCTTTTCCAGCCCCAGTTCCCTTTTTCAGGGACCACTGCAGGAGCCCCTCTCTCCCTTCAGTTTCACTCTGCAGTTCCCCTTCTAGCTCTGTCCTCACTGAACTCCTTCTGACCCACGTGCAGTCCGGCCCCCTTAACTGGCTCAACTGGGAGCATTTCTCTAGCATAGGGGAACCGAACCTATTTCAACCACAGGGGGACAGCCACTCTGTGACAGCTGTCATCGTCTGTTTAATCAAACACCCCATTTAGAGACAGGGCCTGATCCCACACCAACTGTCATCAATGGAAAATCTTCCATTGACTTCAATGGACATTGGATCAAGTCCATAGGACATGGCCCTTGATGGCTCATTACAATCCCATCAATTTGAGTGCTTCTTTGGGTCTGTATAAGGATGGGTTTATTGGACTGGCTGTTGAATTTTCTATAAGGGAAATACCATACATAAACAGACAACACTAGCTGCTGTCATTTTCCACCAAAGAATGTCCATTTGCATTCATACTCAGAAACAAGAGGGGCCTGGAAGATTTGAGTATATGATGGTTGACAGTTTTATGTGAGGTCAGGATGATAAATAGCATTGAAGAGTGGTGCCTACACCAAACAAAATAAAAATTCTTTGAACAGCAACATAACTTTCCACTCAACGTATTATTTTTAATTATTATAGTTAGAGTTTTTCAATAACTGGACACCACACACAATGAATTTTTGCATAGGTGACACATTAAGCAAGGCTAAACGAAAATTCAAATTGGCAAAATATGAATGCAATTCAAGAAATTCTAGAAGTGAAGATGAGTGAGAATTTCAGAGATCCATCAGGATGATCACATATCTTGATATGTGTATCACCAACCTATCTTCAGTCAGCTTACTCTCCAGACAACTCTAGGAAAAAGCGTTAATTGTTACCGGCTAGAGCAGCACAGGAATTCGATTGATGCGCATAAGAGATTGGTAACAATAGCTCCTCACATGTTTGTGCGTTGCGAGGTGACAGCTTGTTTCCTTGGCAACGGTGATTATGGCGTTCCATCCAAGACTCTGAACAGGGCTACAACTTTTCAAAGGATGCAGAACACAGCCCCATTGGGGGGAAGATGGGAAGAAAATATTTCACTGTAGACGAATAGCTTTATGCAAGTCGTGAGAAGTTTATGCAACAGCAAGACATGTCCAAAAGGTAGGAGGAATGAAAGAGGAAAAGTAACTTTAGTCTTTGTACTGTTGTCTTGACACGCTTTGAATAAACAAGATAGTGTTACAAGATTGAATATCTTTTTAAAACATACAGTTACTGTGCCTGAATTGCTGATAGAGTCTATTATGCAATAGAAGCAATCAAGAAATATGTCTCTTTCTTGTTGTTATTTAATTACTGCAAGACACACAGTGTCTTAATATAAATGGATTATTTATGATAAGTACAAAAGTCACATTGATTAAGATGCTAAATTTGCAGTTAAATTCATGGAAAGCTGCGTGGAATTTGAGTAATAAATATACCAGTAATGGCTCGTTATGTCTGTTATGGCTAATTATGTTAATTAAATTTCTTTTGCAGAGTAGTTTTATTTTACAGAAAGCAAGATAATTTATGGCACAGTTAAGGGTAGAGATGCATTGTAACAATGAAGTACAGGTGTGTATGTTACCAAATTATTTTCAAAAGCATTACATCAAAATGTAATGCTTTTGATGTAAGGGATGAAGGGTCTCATGAAACCCATTCAAGAAAATAAACAGGAAGTATCAGTCAGTCACCCACTGTACCTAGGGTTTAGACAGCTCTCAGAATAATGCTTGATCTTACCAGTATTGCACTCACCTGTTGCAATACCTAGGCACAATGCAGTGAACGGAGGAAGGAGGGTTAGTCTCAGTTCTGAATTTCCTGGCTTTTACACGACATGTTTACGTTAGATTTGTAGGTTCACGTTACGTTCATTTTTTGCATATCTGCTTTGGCATGTGCAACTGACTGATCCAGCAAAGTGACTGGGTCCCCATTTTGTGCATACAAACTGCTATTTGTGGGAGCAGTTTGGGGAGGGAAATGACCAGATATCTGATATTCACTTGCAAAAAATGGCAACTAGAAACTGGTTAAAAATTTGACCTATGCTGTTTTTGGATAAACATCCATATTTTCGCAAAAAGAAGAACAGGAGGACTTGTGGCACCTTAGAGACTAACAAATTTATTAGAGCATAAGCTTTCGTGGACTACAGCCCACTTCTTCGGATGCTACTCTGAAACCATCCATATTTTGTTTGTTTTTCTCTTGATGATGCTAAAAACTCAATTAAATTGAGTATTGCTGTTGAAATTCATCAGTATTTTCGGAGTGGCCTTTTACCACCATTACAATAACTCTGGAGCACTGAGATGTTAAATATGGGCCAGATCATGTTCCCAGTGACGCCAACAGGAGCAGGATGGAAATGCGGAGGGCTCTTGGTGCTCCTTAATGCTGTTCCAGCAGTGTGCAAGGGCTGTAAAGGGGCCCCGGTGGCCCCAGGGAAATTCTCTTAATATAGGAGTTGCATAGGGGCAATATAAACACCCCCTTCCCACCATGGGCAGCACATCTAATAGGCTAGGGAAGGCTGTGCCCCCCGAACAGCCCCACATGGCCCTACCCACACTTCACCCCGAGGCACCCTCCTGCCGCTAGTTGGCCCCAGCCCAGGCAAGCTGCTCCTCTTCCGGGAAGCCTACTGGGGCTAGGGCAGGTGGGACCGCCCAGTGCTGGGTGGGCCCCCGGCGCCCTACCCAGCGCTCCAGGGCTGGGGGAAAGGGTGGGCCATGTGCCTCCCGCCAGGCACTCTGGGGCTGGAGGCACTTGGATGACCTGGGGCTAGGGGGTGGGGCTGGTGGCCACAGGGTGGGGGAGGCACTCTGGCCTTCAGGGAAGAAGGGGGCAGGAGGAGTGGGAACTCAGGCAGAAGGAGTGGGCCGGGCCCGGGGTTAGCCTCCCTGAGCCCTTGGTTCACCTACTGCCCAGTGTAAGGGTGTGCTGGGGGACAGGACTTGGGGCATGAGGAAGCATTTTGGAGTGGCAGGGGGAATAACTGTAGTTCAAAGCACTATGACAATTCTGATCTGCAGAGCAGTCCACAGGTAGTTGGAGTAAGGCTGCTATAAATTAGACCAGACCCCACAGCTACTGTAACTTATAGTCAGAGACATTCCAGCCCCCAAAGCAGCCCAGGATCAAGGCAAGGCAAGGAATGGCATAAAGGCACCTTTGCTCCCATTCCTTTTGTGATGCATGTTCTGTGCTGTGTCTCTCATGAAGCAGAACTCAGAATCCGGTGCAAAGCCTGGAATGTTTCCATTTTCATTAGAAGACTTGCAGCAGTGTCAGGGGAAGTGTTTTGAAACACTGCTTTTGACATTGTCAAACATTGCAAATACTGCATAGGAAAAGTTTCCATCCCAAACATCTTCACTGCCATCTTCAGAGATAACACAGGGATAGCTTTTCAAAGCATTGTATTAGGTTTTAATGTTTTCTATCTTTAAAGTCAGTTGGAGTCAGACATATAAAGCCCTGCACTGCACTTGGAAAACGTACGCCATTCTGTTCCCATTGTCTATGGAAATTTTGCCATTGATTTCAATGAGAACGGGAGCAGATCCGTTTCACCGATATGCCGTTGACATTGGGCAAGGTTCTGATTCTGTGAGGTTCTATCAGTGAAGTCCATGGGACTACATCATCTGTTCACTGGCATGACTCAGTACCTCATTAAATCATACCCATTGTTTGGAGCATAGGGGGGATTTGATAGAGGTATATAAAATCATGAGTGATATGGAGAAAGCGGATAAGGAAAAGTTATTTACTTATTCCCATAATACAAGAACTAGGGGTCACCAAATGAAATTAATAGGCAGCAGGTTTAAAACAAATAAAAGGAAGTTCTTCTTCACGCAGGGCACAGTCAACTTGTGGAACTCCTTACCAGAGGAGGTTGTGAAGGCTAGGACTATAACAGCGTTTAAAAGAGAACTGGATAAATTCATGGTGGTTAAGTCCATTAATGGCTATTAGCTGGGATGGGTAAGGAATGGTGTCCCTGGCCTCTGTTTGTCAGAAGGTGGAGATAGATGGCAGGAGAGAGATCACTTGATCATTGCCTGTTAGGTTCACTCCCTCTGGGGCACCTGGCATTGGTCACTGTCGGTAGACAGGATACTGGGCTAGATGGACCTTTGGTCTGACCCGGTACGGCTGTGCTTATGTTCTTATGAAAGGTGCAGTAGCTGTGGTATGTGCACAGCTTCCAGTTTCCAACGTCAAATATTTCAGTTTTATTCCCTACTACCACCACTAAAAAATAAAATCCACAATTCTTCAATCTTCAAGGCTACACAAGCTAAATCTTAGGATCATTCTGCTCTCACTTATATCAGGTAGATAACACCAGTGAAACCATGGAGTCACTCTGGATTTACAATGGTATAACAAAGAGCAGGATTTGTCAGCATGTTTTTTTATTTAAATTAAGCAGCTATTTTATATGTATAGCACAAGAAAAACAAAACATAGGGAAACCACCCATAGCACCAAAGCTCTAACTGATTCAAACCATATTTAACCCTTTTAAATCAACATCTAAGCCACTTTTGCTTATTGGATCAGTTTCTGAAATTGTGTTCATGGATTTAATATCAGGTGCACAACTACACTCATGCTCCTTCCTCCGTAGCATGGGGCGGGGGTCGCTAGCTGGAGGAGTCTCTGCGACTTGAAGTCTTTAAATCACAGGATTTGGGTACTTCAACAGCTGAGTTAAGGGAAAGGGGGTGGGTCAGCTTTTGTGGCCTGCATCATGCGGGAGGTCAGACTAGATGATCATAATGGTCCCTTCTGACCTTAAAGTCTATGAGTCTGAGTCTATTAGAGACTCAGCTGATGCCCAGCTAAAAGAATCGGAGCCTACACGTGCAAAAGATATGTGCAATATATGTTTTTCACTTGACAATTTTGAGTTTCTCCCTCGACCTTCTTTCATACGATTTCTAAAATACAGGCAACACTGCTTGCTAAAAAGACATTAGAGATCATCACTGAGAAGAGAGAGAATGCAGTGGGGTTATAGCCACAGTGGGTTTCCATTAG